ATGGGGAACACTGTTCAAAAACCCTCGCCCGGTACCTTATATAAGGACACTTCTGAGTGGCTGACAAGTGGGTCCGGGCGATCCTATCACATCCCGAAACAGTCGCGCGCGCGTGATACGTAGCGAAAAAGGCGGCGTGGAAATCGAGGCGTATACGCGTTATCCCATCCGAGCGTCGCGGTCCGCCCCGCTTCGCGCGCTTCCCAAAATTCGGATCCCACAAAATCCGCTAACAGCAGATCAATCTCTCAGACGGTAGATTTCCTGCGATCCGTCGCTCGGGAGTTTACTAGGTTCAAAAGTTCACTCGACAGAAGAAAGGAATGGATCAAGGCGACTGAAAGAAAAGTTGCTGCCATCATCGAAAAGATTATTAGTCCAAAAATAAGACACGTTCAGAACACAAAAACAGGTCAGAAAAATTATCAACTCCTTCCTCACTCAAACCTCGATCCATTCGGGGGCTAATGATGAAGTCATGTACCTAGGGTAGGGTCACGGACCTGTCCTAAGTACCCTTCCCAAGGACATCTCAGAAGAAGCTGCCCTCCAGTCGACCAAGAGAGACTTCACTCGACGGACTCGAAGGACTCGACCATAAAGATTCACTCGACCACCAGAAGCTCAAGAGCCACTCTGCATCCAAACAGTCTGTAATTAAGTAGTCTTTATGGCTGACACTTTATGTAAGGCGTTACTGGTAACGTCTGGCCTTAATGTACTTTTAGCCCTGCATAACTGAGGGCCGGAGGGGTCTGGCAGACACTATATAAGCCACCCCCCTCCTCAGTGTAAAGGGTTCGCATCCTTGTAATCCATACACACATAATCCAGTCGACTGCCTCCGGGCTCCGAGACGTAGGGCTGTTACTTCCTCCGAGAAGGGCCTGAACTCGTACATCCCTTGTCTGTACAACTGCTCCATAGCTAGGATCTTGCCTCTCCATACCTACCCCCCATTCTACTGTCAGACTTAGAACCACGACAAGCGCTACGACACAATTTCCTCCTTCATCAGCGTCCTCCGCTATGCAACCTAGCCCACCAGCTCGATTTTCTATTCAGTTTTCCTAAAGCACATCTAGATGTGCCATAAGTATTGCACATCTAAGTCCAGTGTCATTGATTGTGGATGAATAGATCGACACTTTTTCGCAAAAAAAGGTCCAGTGTCATTGATCTTACGTGGAGGGTTCGTGTGGGTATTTTCTTTTTTCTTTTTTCTTTTTATGATTGATTCAGTCATTTAGACGTGCAATAACTAAAGCACATCTAGATGTGCTCTAGACATTCCCACGTTTTTTATTCTTCTGCCAGCCATACAGAAGATGGTAGTATGGCTATATTACTGAGCAGATAGACACGGAGCTTCTCCCATGCAAATCATGGAGATGGAGGGGTGGTTGACCTTCAGTTTGATAGCACTATCCACTCTACTGGCCCTTTGGTTTTTCAAGCTCTCCGGTGGTAAGAAGCAGCCGCTGCCTCCAGGGCCATGGAGACTCCCCATCATCGGCAGCCTCCACCACGTCGTTAGCATCCTCCCGCACCGCACCATGACAGAGCTGTGTCGCCGGCACGGACCGGTGATGTACCTGCAGCTTGGCGAGATCCCCACCGTGGTGGTCTCCAGCAAGGAGGCGGTGGGACAGATGATGAAGGCCGGCGACCTCCAGTTCGCGAACCGGCGGACCACCGGAATGCAGGACATCGTCGGCTTTGGTGGCAAGGGCGTCACCTTCGCCCCCTACGGCGACCACTGGCGCCACATGCGCAAGGTGTGCGTCACGGAGCTCCTCAGCTCCAAGCAGGTGAGGCGCATGGAGAGCGTGAGGGCCGAGGAGATGGGCAGCCTCCTCCGCTCCATGACAGCGTCAGCTGGCGCCACCCTCAACGTCAGCCAGAAGGTGGCGGCGCTGAGCAACGATGTCGTGGCACGGGCGGTCTTCGGCGGCAAGTTCAGCCAGCAGGAGAATTTCATCCATGCATCCAACAGGATCATGGACCTGCTGGGAGGCTTCTTCCTCATCGACCTCTTCCCATCCTCGAGGCTCGTGCGGTGGTTGAGCAGCGAGGAGCGCCGCGTTAGGAGCAGCCGCGACGTCATGCAGCGCATCATCACCGACATCATCGACGAACGCAAGGCTGCGAGAGCTGCAAGTAACGGCGGCACCTGCGACGAGGGGCTGCTAGACGTGCTGCTCACACGCCAGGAGGAGGACTCGCTGGAATCCCCTCTAACCACAGAGATGATAACCACCGTCTTGTTTGTGAGTATATATTTTACTTTCTATTGCCATCTCATGACAACGGTGCTATACCTAACATGCATGTGCTTGCTTAGGACTTAAGACGCATCTTAATTAAGAAATCTGTACGTCTGGGCAGAATCATGCATCTGATGTACTCCCTCCGTCCCAAAATAAGTGTCTCAACCTTAGTACAACTTTGTACTAAAGTTAGAACAAAATTGAGACACTTATTCTGGGACGGAGGGAGTAGTTAGGATCCTTGCTAGGTCCCTCACAAAACAAATATATACTCATGGTTGAACTTTGTGTTTAGATAATTGTGCTAGGATATCATTGCTAAATATAAATAAGTTACATGGCACACAATTTTTGTACTCTACTCACCTTTACAGGAGGGCAGAGTGCTCTCCCACTTCATAAAGTAGAAGTAATTGACCTTTTGTATGTGTGTGAAATCCTGCAATTCTCAGTCAATCATTATAAATATCCGCAACAAAGGATGTGATACTATTAAAACTTTAATATCCACTACATACTAATATTCCTCCGATGCATAATAAGTATCCACTGATTATTACAAACTTGTCCTAAATCAGATACACTTATTATAAAACGGAGGGAGGAGCATTTCTTGAAATAATGATGATTGATATATATTCAATCCAGGACATGTTTGGAGCTGCTACTGATTCCACTTCAACCACCTTAGAGTGGGCTATGTCGGAACTCGTCAATCATCGAGAAGCTATGACCAAGGCACAGTTGGAGGTCCGTGAGGTACTAGGTCCAAATCGAGCTATCATTGCCAGTAGCGACCTTGCAGAACTCCACTACATGCGGATGGTCATCAAGGAAACTTTTAGATTGCATCCACCTGCTCCTCTACTTAACCGCACGAATGAAGAGGACTGCAAAATTATGGGTTATCACGTGGTTAAAGGTATGAATATATACATTAATGTCTTGGCAATTTCCCAGGATCCTCAATACTGGGACAATCCCGAAGAGTTTAATCCAGAGAGGTTTGAGAATAGTAACATGGATTATAACGGGACATGCTTCGAATTCACTCCTTTCGGGTTTGGGCGACGCCTTTGTCCTGGGATAACATTCGCCTCATCAATTTTTGAGATGGCATTGGCAAACTTTCTCTATCACTTTGACTGGATGCTTCCTGACGAATCCATCTCGGAGTCGGTGGACATGTCCGAGAAATTTGGGTTAATTGTACGCAGAAGTTCTGACCTGCACCTCAGAGCTATTCCACACCTATGCTCCAAAGCTATGGAGATTTAAATCCACCATCCTGTGCTCCAGGAGGTCCATTACGTGTGGTGTTTTTACCTTTATGCCAACATTGGAATACGAGAATTTCATGGAAAAATTGTTGGACCACACTATTTTTCATGTTACTATGGGCTAAGATTAAATTTCATGGGGGCTAAGATTAAATTTCATGGTTGTCGACTGCATCGCAGTAGCTACTGCACAAGACTAAGTGATCCAATTATTTGTGATATATGATCATGTGTCTATTTGTAATGTTCTGACTGAATAAATGCCATGCAAATTGTCTGTTAAATACTAAAACTACCGGTACAACTCATCCCAATTTTTGTTTTGACTATACTCTAAATTGTACACTATCGCCTATCAATGAGAACATGTGTTGATTTTTTCGGCAATACTACATGTGTAGTATGTGATATCGAACCTCTGATGTGCACACGTGTTTGAAAATTGTTAGATTTTATTTGCTCTCCCCTCGTTTGAATCAAGAAGACCCGCGCAAGCCACCACAAATTCAAGCACAACTATTACGGAACTTGAAAAAACCAGTACGACATAACGAATCAACAAGTAATAAAAAATACATACCAAAAGGTCAATAAAAGTTGCTTGCAACTTACACAGCTAATGTCTCAATCGGACGACAGTTTCCCGGACGATTTCAATTGTCACTTGTAAAGATCAGAAAATCGCACACGATTGACATTTCCATCGCAATCGGTGGGCGATGGGGTAGTCAATTACAATAGATTGCTAAACCGTGTGCGATAGCTCTCTCTATGGACACGGAAGTTGTAACAGTCGTATGGGATGACCTATCAATCAAACATGGTTTCGCTATTCCACATGTGTGTGCTTGGGTGTAGTCGCCCAGCTCCGACGAAGTTGGTCGTTCTGACAGGTGTATTCTCGCAAATGTTTAGTTTGAACTGAATCGTGTGTGTTTAGGAAACCATTGTGCACGTTTGGAATTTGCAGGACCATGCCTTTAGCCTTTGCACCAGCTACAACCCATGCAGATATCAAGAACACGCATCATCCGGTAGCAAATCTCAATTGTATTTCATTTACTTCACATTTCGTACACCAAGTATTCATACATTACAAAGTTATCAATCGCTAGCTATATAAATGTGAAAGATACACAAAAGAAGGAAAATAGTCACGTGCCCACGCCTCCTTTGATCTTCTCCTTGCGTGGCAGAAACAGGAACAACGGCCATCTCTTGATCATTCAGTGCTGCGTCGATGTTCATCTTACTGTTGTCTTCCGTGTACAAATGTTTGGGCTATGTATTTGATCATTTCAGTATATGAAAAAAAGAATATACACAAACTAAAATCGATGTGTAGCAACGCATGGGCAGTGTTCGCTAGTATAAGCAAATTTGAACTTTAGCTTTGGTTCCAGACATCCAACCAACCAATACATAGAGGCTCATCAAGCATGCTATACTGCTAGTACGGAAGGATTCCCAAGGACCTTCCGTAGTTGACGACATCATCGTATATCTCGTCCAACGCCTTGTACCTGAACTCGAACCCTTCCCCGACGAGCTTCGCCGACGAAATGCAGACTCTCAGCTTCTCGGGGCGACCACCGAACCTGAAGACAAACATACACGCTATTCACGATCAAGAACGTCGGAACTTGTCGTGTTTCCATAGATGTTGGTACACACCTGTCGCTATTGACGTTGTACTGCGGGTACTTGGAGGCCAGGAAGGTGGCTAGCTCCGCGAGAGTGGGGTCGAGGCCAGGGCAGCTGCAGATATATCTTCCTGACGCACCCTCCTCTTCGGCTACAAAGATCTTTGCACGGCAGAGGTCGCGGACATGGACCATCGGGATCGAGCCAAACGCCTTCTCGATGAGTTCCAGGCCGCGGATCTTCTCGTCGTCACCTGAGATAATCATTCACCACACACGTCGTTCGATGAATTAGTCTCTAATGGTCCCTTTTAATCATCGTTGCATCTTGACTTGGTATCAGGCTCACCAGTTAGCAAAGAAAGGACACTAGGGACGCTGGTGTGGACAATCGTCGCCGGCGCCTCGCCAACTGTGAATGGGGGGCACACCGTAACAAGGCTTATGCCGCTGTCCTGAGCGAAAGTCCATGCCGCCTTTTCCATAAGCACCTTCGAGACATGGTAGGCCTGCGATACGGCACGCAAGAACGTCAACACACTGACATTACTACCCGCCCTAAAATTAGAAGTTGGGTGTGACTAGATCTTAGTAGACTGAGACTTAACAAAGTCTCACTCAAATGACAAAACGTATAGAAGAGAAGAAAAAAAATTAAATTTGTTTTTTACATGGATCTTCACGTAAGATCTAACGAATATAGCATCGACTGAGACTTCCTTAATTTTCAGTCAACTAAGATTTAGCAATCCCAAAATTAAAAGGGAATGGAAGTACTAAAAAATGTGCATGCCTACCCAGCCGCCGGCATTGGTCACTCTGAGGTACTCGACGTCGCTCCAGGACTCCTCGTCGAGGACATGGCTGTCTGCCAGTAGCAGAGGCCGGCCAACGACAGCGGCCACTGACGATGTCAGGATCACACGCTTCACCGTCCTCGCCCTCACGCACGACCTCATTACGTTAAGGGTTCCACTGACAGCCAGCTCGATCACTTCTTTCTGCCATGAGATATAACCAACTAAAAACAGTCCCTTATCCAAAATCAAATCTGACCCTAGTACAGAGTGTTTGGTCAGGCTCTACCTCAGGGTTCTCTGCGTTGAGGTTCATCGGAGCCGCGACGAGGAAGGCATAGTCGCAGCCGGCCACGGCCTGGTCGAAGCTGCCCTCGTCCTCCAGGTCGGCGCGGAAGACATCCAAGGGGCCGAGCGCTTGCAAGTCCTTGAGATGGGGGTGATTCTTCATGTCATCTGAGATCCAAAAAGAATAAACGTGCCTGTCAGCTCAGTGTTCATCACATTCACATCACAACAGACAGTCGTCCGAATAGAGAGCGATCGAGGATCTAACCAGACTTTCTGACTGCCGTCTTGAGGGTGTATCCCTTCTGCAGCAGTATCTTCACAAGGGCCGAGGCGATGTACCCGTCCCCTCCGGTGACGCACGCCGTCTTCCTCCTCATCGCATCACCTGCCACAGACGTCATCAGGCCGGCTGGAGGTGGTGAGTCGAGCACCAGCGTTCTGCTCCTGTGCCGGTGGAGTGGTGCTTGTGGGCGCTCGTGGCTTTCACCTCTGAGATAAACGTCAAGACGACAGTGCTGCCCTGGATATAGAAAGGTTAGATGCTTTCCAACTTGTATTTTTCTTTCAGATTGATTATACCTAACCAACTGCACTATTGTGCTGCCCTGGATATACAAAGGTTAGATGCTTTCCAACTTGTATTTTTCTTTCAGATTGATCATACCTAGCCAACTGCTAAATGCATTGTGCTCCAGTGATATTGAAGTCTTCCATCGACCTGCTAGCTAGTATCCAAAAGAGACAACTGGCAGGTTAGTACTCCTCCCTCCGTTGCAAAATATAGCGCGTCCTCGGTTTCCGTGCTTCAACTTTGTACATAAATTTAACCAACGAGACTGACTGCGGCGGGAGAAAGAAGTTTTCAATTATATAATTTGGGTCTGTCTATGTCACATCTAGATGTGAGATAATATCTCACATCTAGGTGACATCATCCTCTACAAATTTGTCCCACCTAGTTGACAAACAAAAATTCAGCCTGTTTGTTTGTCGATCTCCCGCCTCGACCGTTGTTTGTCTGTCGTCAACACTCGCTCACCCATCCCGAGTACCCCTCACCTGGTGGGCCTTGTTAGTTGGGCTTTTTCTTTGTTTGTTTGTTTGTCTGAAAATTTGCTCACGGGCTTGACCCTTCTTTGTTACAGTAGAAGAAAAAGGTCTTGCTTGCTTCTAAAAGGAGTTTGGGTGGCTGGCAAAGTAGGAAAAACCCAGACATGGGTGCTTTTCTGTGGGCACTTTACAGCTGCAGCCAATCCATCCACCTACTCCCTCCCCACCCTCCTCTCCCCTTGCACAGCCGCCATGGATGAACAACACTGAAGAAAACACAGCTCAAAATTGGAAGTACTGATCTGGGGAAGAAGACAAAATTGCAGAAGAAATCATGACGGGCATTGAGGGCTCTTACCAGGGTGAGTTCATGGTTTGTCCCCTCCCTTGATTATCCTTTGTTAGTCAAAAAATCCTCTCTACAACCTTGTAGATCTTAATTTCTGCTTGAATTCGTTGATTGGAAAAACAAAAGAAACAGAAGCTTGATCTGCTCTGTAGAGAAACAACACAGCAGTTGAGTGCCATCAGTGTGTAGCAAGAGGAATTTTGTTTTGATTTGTCCAGAAAAAAAACAGAACTAAAAGCAGACCATATGTAGATGAACAAGTAGATATCATTCTTGTGAGTGACATGATCAAAAAAGAAAACAACAAGCAATGTATTCTATTATCAGAGAAAAAATGAATACTAATCAGTCAATAGATATGCTAAATGACTGACTTTTCCATGGGTTCAGAAATGTTTGCTATTTTTGGATGGTGAAAGAATGAAAAATGATACAAAGTCAGAAACAGATAAGAAGTTCCATCCATACAACTGCAAAACATCTTTAGCTTGTTAGAAAGTAGAGGTATTCACTGCATTCCAATTGTGTTAGAGAAACCCTTAATAATTGAATCTCATAGTGTACTGCATGTTAACAAGGGAACAAAAATATAAAAAAATTCATATAACTGATAGGAATTATAAAAGCTGAATGTAGATGTGCTTCGGATATTAAAAAAAAGTTATGCTCCTAGATTTTGTTGAAAATCTTTCAGTCATCAGACCACCAGTCTACACAAACAAAAAAACTATTTGCAAAAAACACATAAACTTGCTGGCAACAAAAGAGGAGGGAAAAATAAAGCAAATGAAAAGATAAAGTTGATGTACAACAACATAATGATTAAATCTGGAAAAAGTTATGACTGCAGGTGATGAACATAAGTACTCAGGGGACTACATAGGGACTCAGGTATGATTTAGGGCATACAAAAAAACAGTAAAAAATGACAGATGTGTGATCCTAGCCTTTTTCTAGTCCAAAGCAATGGAGCAAATTTCCCGCAGATGATTCCACCCTACTCATTCACGTATCAGACCAACGGGTTTCCGACAGTAGCAAATCCTTTGGCTGTTGGGACTAACAGCACTAGCTAGACAAACTGCTCAACCTTTTGTCCCGTAGAAACAAGATGTAAGTTAGTTATTGATTTCACTGTATTTCTGTTGATATGGACTTTATGTAAGTAAGAAATGTGCAGGCATTGGTGTTGAATGAAGGATTCGGCATGAACATGTCGTACACACAAATGCTACTTGCCGCTGACTCTGAGGTTTGAGCCACACATAAAGAAAAAGTAAAAAAGAAATTCAAAATAGAAAAAAAAGTGTGCTTAACTTTGTGTTGTTGTGCAGGCCGCCTTTGTTGGTTCACCACACACGGATCGCTATCCTGTTGGTGCTGAGGTATGATCACATATTGAAATAAAAAACAAGAAGATTCAGTTGCAAGTTGAGGGTCGACTTGCAAGTGGCATCAAAAACAGAAGACCCCAGTTGCACCTCTAGGCTCCACTTGCAAAAGTGGCATCACACCAGAGCCTAGTTGCAAGTCGAGGGTCCACTTGCAAGTGGCATGAAAAACAGAAGACCCCAGTTGCAAGTCGAGGGTCCACTTGCAAGTGACATGAAAACAGAAGACCCAATTACAAGTCGAGGGTCCACTTGCAAGTGGCATCAAAAAATAGAAGACCCAGTTGCAAGTCGAGGGTCGACTTGCAAGTGGTATCAAACAAAAAAACCAGTTGCAAGTCAAGTGTCCGCTTGCAAGTGGCATAAAAAAAGACACGATTGCAAGTTGATGGTTGACTTGCAAGTGCCATAAAAAAAGACCTGGTTGCAAGTCGAGGGTCCACTTGCAAGTGGCATGAAAAGCAAAGGGACCCGGTTGCAAGTCGAGGGTCCACTTGCAAGTGGCATAAAAAAAAGAAGACCCGATTGCAAGTCGAAGGTCGACATGCAAGTGGTATCAAACAAAAAACCCTAGTTGGAAGTCAAGTGTCCACTTGCAAAGTGGCATAAAAAAGGACCTGGTTGCAGCTCGAGGGTCCACTTGCAAGTGGCATCAAACAAAAAATTAAAGTTGCAAGTCAAGTGTCCACTTGCAAAATGGCATTAAAAAAAAGGCCTCGTTGCAAGTCGAGGGTTGACTTGCAAGTTGCATGAAAATAGAAGACCCCAATTGCAAGTTGAGGGTCCACTTGCAAGTGGCATGAAAACAGAAGACCCAGTTGCAAGTCGAGGGTCCACTTGCAAAGTGGCATCAAAAAAAGAAGACCCCAGTCGCAACTTGAGGGTGGACTTGCAAGTGGTATCAAACAAAAAAACCCAGTTGCAAGTCAAATGTCCACTTGCAAGTGGCATAAAAAAACCGGTTGCAAGTCGATGGTTGACTTGCAAGTGGCATAAGAAAAAGACCTGGTTGCAAGTCGAGGGTCTACTTGCAAAAGTGGCATGAAAAAAAAGGGACCCGATTGCAAGTCGAGGGTCCACTTGCAAGTGGCATCAATAAAAAGAAGACCTAGTTGCAAGTCGAGGGTCGACTTGCAAGTGGCATAAAAATAGAAGACCCCGGTTGCAAGTCGAGGGTGGACTTGCAAGTGGTATCAAACAAAAATATACCCAGTTGCAAGTCAAGTATCCACTTGCAAGTGGCATAAAAAAGGACCAATTGCAAGTAGATGGTCGACTTGCAAGTGGCATAAAAAAGACATGGTTGCAAGTCGAGGGTCCTCTTGCAAGTGGCATAAAAAACAAAAAAGGGACCCGGTTGCAAGTCGAGGCTTCACTTGCAAGTGGAAAATGATAAAAAAAACTACGGGCCCACAATTGCGAGTTGATGGTGGACTTGAACTGGGGCTATTACAACTAGAGAAACACCACAGTTGCGAGTCGATTGTCGGCTTGCAAGTGGCATCAAACAAAAGAACCCAGTTGCGAGTCGAAGGTCAACTTGCAAGTGGCATAAAACAAAAGATCCAGTTGCGAGTCGATTGTCGGCTTGCAAGTGGCATCAAACAAAAAACCCGATTGCAGGTCGATGGTCCACTTGCAAGTGGCATAAAAAATTGAAGACCCAGTTTCGAGTCGAGGGTCGACTTGCAAGTGCCATAAAACAAAGGACCCACTTGCAAGTCGAGGGTCGACTTGCAAGTCGCATCAAACAAAAAACCTATTTGCAAGACGAGGCTTCACTTGCAAATTGGAAAATGAAACAAAAACTACGGGCCCACAATTGCGAGTCGATCATGGACTTGCAACTGGGGCTATTACAACTAGACAAATAACATAGTTGAGAGTCAAGGGTCGGCTTGCAACTGGGGCTATTACAACTAGACAAACACCACAGTTGAGAGTCGAGTATCGACATGCAGGTGGCATCAAACAAAGAACCCCGTTGCAAGTTGAGCAAATAGACCCAGTTGCTAGTCAAGGGTCGACTTGCAAGTGGCATCAAACAAAAACCCTAGTTGCAAGTCGAGGCTTCACTTGCAAGTGGAAATGAAAACAAAAACTATGTGCCCACAATTGCGAGTCGATAGTGGACTTGCAACTACAACAATTACAACTAGAGAAACACCACGGTTGCGGGTCGATTATCGGCTTGCAAGTGACATCAAACAAAGAAATCCAGTTGCGGGTCGAGGGTCGACTTGCAAGTGGCATAAAACAAAAGACACAGTTGCAAGTCGAGGGTCGACTTGCAAGTGGTATCAAAACAAAAACCTAATTGCAAGTTGAGGGTCGACTTGCAAGTGGCATAAAAAATAGAAAGACACAGTTGGGAGTCAAGGCTCGACTTGCAAGTGGCATAATACTAAAGACCCGTTTTCAAGTCAGGGGTCGACTTGAAAGTGGCATCAAACAATAAACCTAGTTGCAAAAGTCGAGGCTTCACTTGCAAGTTGGAAAATGAATAAAAAAAGACGGGCCCACAATTGTGAGTCGATGTTGGACTTGCAACTGGGGCTATTACAACTAGACAAACACGACCGTTGCGAGTCGAGGGTCGGCTTGTAACTTG